GTCCCCCCAGTCTTCTCTAAATGGATTTCGGTATTATGTAGAGTTCATCGACGATTTCACGCGCTTTTCTTGGATTTATTTTATGCATCACAAAAGCAAAACCATCGCCAAATTTAAACTATTTTGCAGCTTTATTTACAATCAATTTTCGGCCACTCCAAAACAATTTAGATCGGATGGTGGTGGTGAGTTTGTAAGCAGAGAATTCACCGACTTCTTGAACAGCAAAGGCATTGCACAGCAACTCAGCTGTCCTCATACGCCAGAACAGAACGGCGTGTCCGAGCGTAAACATCGACATCTACTCGAGCTCACTCGGACGTTGCTTCTCCACTCGAATCTTCCCGATCACTTCTGGGCTGATGCTGTATCCACTGCTAACTACTTAATCAACCGCCTACCGACCTCTGTGCTTTCACACAAATCACCATATCAAATGCTCTTCAATGCCATCCCGGACTACCAACATTTGCGCACCTTTGGATCATTGTGCTATCCGTGGCTGCGTCCTTACTCAAACAGCAAACTCGAACCAAGATCGCAGCCATGTCTATTCATTGGTTATTCACCACATCACAAAGGATATAAGTGCTATAATTTGAATTCTCACAAAATTCACATCTCCCGCCACGTGGATTTTCATGAAGCTGTCTTCCCGCTACGCTCACAACCTCCACATGTCACTACTACTCAGCAGCTCCCAATCAGTTACTCATCACCCCTTCTACTTGTTCCCACCTCGACAACAACTCAACTACCCACAGCTGCCTCCGGCTCTCAACTCACTACAGCTCTGCTCCCTCGGCCAACTGCGATTACCAACTCTCCCAGACCCGAACAAACCTCCTCTTCCAGCTCAGGTTGCCATCCCCCAGCTGACACCCACACGCACCATATGCAAACCAGATCTAAATCCGGTATTTTTAAACCTCGTCAAATCATCTCCCTTATAAGTCAAGCCGATCACAGCATCACACCGACAACCTACAATCAAGCTTCTAAACTTTCTCACTGGCGAGACGCAATGGCAACAGAATATCAAGCTCTCCTAAAACAGAACACCTGGTCTCTCGTTCCCAAACCGCTGAACAAAAGAGTTCTGGGATGCAAATGGACCTACAAGACAAAACGATTGCCGAACGGTCAAATTGATCGCTACAAAGCACGACTGGTAGCTTTGGGCTATGAACAAATCCTTGGAGAAAACTATACTGAGACATTCAGCCCTGTTGCTAAGATGACTACTATCCGCATGCTTCTATTTCTGGCTGTCAACAAGCAATGGCCCGTTCTTCAGCTCGACGTATCTAACGCATTTCTTCACGGTGATCTACAAGATGATATCTACATGTCACAACCTCGCGGTTTTGAGGATCGAGAACAACCCAATGCAGTCTGTAAACTTCACAAATCCCTTTACGGGCTCAAGCAAGCGCCACGCCAGTGGTATCAGAAGATCACGGCGTTTCTTCAAACTCAAGGCTTCGGGTTTAGCCGCTCTGATCCCTCTCTCCTCATCTTTAATCACAATCAAATTTCTATCTTCATCCTAATTTATGTGGATGACATTTTAATTACAGGAAACAACAGTTCGTCTATCAACAACTTACTGGCCACTCTCCGCTCACAATTTGCTCTCAAGCAGCTCGGCCAAATTGATTTATTCCTGGGCATTCAGGTTTCACGTACAGAATCCGGCTTCTTCTTACATCAACAACATTACGCAGAAAAACTGCTACAGGAAGCTGGCTTCATCAATAGCAAACCGTGTCCAACTCCCATCACCCCGACGTCCAGACATCAGCCTTCAGATTTCACTCCATTCTCTGATCCGACCCTCTATCGCCGTCTAGCCGGATCGCTTCAATATCTAACTATCACCCGGCCAGATATCGCCTACGCCACGAACCAAGCTTGCCAGCACATGCAGACTCCGACTACGACTGATTTCAATCAGCTCAAGCGTATTCTTCGGTACATCAATGGCACCAAATCCTTCGGTCTACCCATCGTTCCTGGTAACACAACTCTTCAGACGTTTACGGATGCCGACTGGGCATCTGATCTCTCGGATCGGAAGTCAATCTCCGGCACCTGTACATTTCTCGGTCCAAATCTTATTTCTTGGTCTGTCAAGAAACAGCTGACCGTTGCCAAGTCCTCCACCGAGGCCGAATATCGAGCTCTTTCAGCCTCCGTTTCCGAGATTCTCTGGCTCCGTCGGCTGGCTTCCGAGCTACAGCTCCATCAGACATCACCTACTCTTATTCACTGCGATAATCTTTCTGCGATCGCAATAGCCAAAAATCCGGTATTTCATGCCCGGGCCAAACATATCGAGATTGATTATCAGTTTATCAGACAACATCTCGCTGCAGGAAACATCCTCATTCAGCACATCGCCTCTCATGATCAAGCAGCGGACATTCTCACAAAACCTTTCTCCAGCTCTCGCTTCGACTATCTTCGTCACAAATTAACCGTTCAACCACAGAACGCCTAATTTGAGGGAGGATATTAGAGAAAGGATCATGTTTAGCTTAGAGTATACCTTAGTTTACTGTACAAAATTTTCCATCAAATTCCTAATATAATATCTATAACACTAATATTTTTCTTTTAAAAAATTTATATTATTTAAAATAACTTTTAAGAAAATTATTTTTCCTATAATGATTATATTTGCAAACTGTTACTTTCGTGCCGAACTCTGATCACCAATCAGACGATAGTCATCTACCGGATAGCGACGAATCCATCACGAAGATGGATGACCACAGTGTTCTTTGTGTTGCCAGCAAGCTCTCTTTCAATGTCAAGTTTCTCATAACATCTATAAAGTTTTATTGTAAAATATTTAGGTCAATTAAGACAAATTCACACACACATCACATACGCAAGCTTCAAATATGAAACATTTTAGTTGGTAGCAGCGCTCTCAACCAACAAATCAAAATGAGCTGCATACTAATAGGTCAAGTCACCCTATCTCTCTACAACCATCTTCAAGCAAGTGAGCACTAATTCCAATAGCCAATGTTGAAACAAATTCAATAATTACAGACATGTCCTCACCAAACTCTTCTCATCCCACCCTAAATCCACCCCCTCTCCCTCCAATGTCAAAAATTTCAAAATCTTTTTCTTCCATTCCAATCCAATCATTTAAATGAATTAATTTAATAATTTTTATTAATTATATTTATGCTCATATCTCAAAATAATTTGTGCTAATTTATGGTGGGACTCCTCTCACTGGATTTTCTATCATATTTTGTGAGAGCAATTTTACTAGGATTATGTTGTTATATATGTCAAAGGTTTATCTATTTTTGTATTTATGTAATAAATATAATGTTCATAGTTAACTATTTAAAAAATAGATGCATATGATGTTCAAACAACATAATATTGAGTAATTCAATACAGATAAATAAATTTAATGGTGCCAAACTCGGTTGACATTTCATTTGGGATAGTTTTCTCATAATTTTCTAAGATAACATTTCAGTATAAATTTTTTTGAAAGTAGCAAAAAAGCAGCAGCAAAAATCTAATCTCAATAATATTTCAAAATTGCAATGCATGAATTCTAAATCACATAAAATAAAAATTCTCTCTATAGTGAATTTTTTTTAAAGTTAACTCCCATCTAATACTACAAAAGAAGACCTCATTTTTCTGCGACCGTTTCCACCTAAAAATGAATGAAATACGTCGGTAATTTATATTTCTAGCGGATTTACAATGGAAAATTTTCTTACGAGAATTCACGCGTCAGAAAACAAACTTCCCCCGAAAAACCAGAAGGAATTATTATGTCAGAATTCGCCTGAAAATCCACCGAAAATATTTCATCGAAAATCCTCTAAAAAATCTGTCGAAATTTGTGAGGGATTTATTCATTAGCATTTTTTCTATATTGTAACTCAAATTAGCTCAAAATCCTACTAAAGTATTGATTACGATAAAAGATTCACACGCATCTCAATATTCATGTCTATCTAAACACTATTTTTAAAATAATTAATCATCATTATTATATTGATTAAATTAATACAAAGCAAATTAATAACCATTTAATTAGTAAATTCACACATAATTTTAATAAAGGTGAACCCACAAACTAA